TGGTGGTTGTGTGTTCGATTCCCACACGAACCATTTTTTTAAGGCGGTTTGGTTGATGGTGTCTCCCTGGAGTTGGAACATGACCGAAGTCCGTTTTGGTATACCAAATATACCTTGAACAGCTCATTCTTCTGCTATTAAATAGCCAAACCAAAGAACTTAAATTTTAATTTCTTTGGTTTGAGCGACGTCGACACTTTGGCCCGACTGCTGGTGATCAACTCAATATGGAAGGCCAACATTGCAATGGTACCAATGCTTACTTATTATTTAGTGTTCTTAAGTTCTGACCACACTCGAATTTTCTTCGACCAAAAACATATATAGTCATAATGTGCCTATTATGGTGATGTGATGTCATCATGACCATATTTAGGCATGTCAAATACAAATTGATGATAGTCTTGACAGGGCTTAACGTTTAGTTAGATTAATAGCAAATACGTGCTACTAAAATTAGATATGATTATTAATATATTAATTACTTTTTTACTTTAATATCCGATATTCAGATTTTATAAAAGTATGAATTGCCAAAACTGCTGGTGACCATAAACAATGAAAAATAAACTGTATAATTAGAGTCTTTATTTTAAAAAAAGACAGAGTAGTACATACACATTGGGGCCGGGAGGACAAATTATTTGAAAAAACAGTTATATAAATAATTAATAAGCAATTACAGTAGCAAAGAAAAAAACTACTGTACAATGATCGCGAGCAATCTAAACCATTCCGCTTCCGCCCACTACTGTTTATATAATAGCAAAGGTTGTTCCCATTATGAGTGTAGAACAAAACTTCCTTCAAGTTGCCCAGTGGCGTATCTAGGGGTGCGCACGCCCCTCCAAAAATTACTCGTGCCCCCCAGTCGCTCCCCCACATAAATCATGGTCAAGTAGTTAAACATCACCTAAAATCACCTTATTTTGCGAGTTAGAGCTCCTCAACAGATCATTGAGCACCCCTTCAATTCACCTTCGTGCCTCCCATGAGCACCCCCCTTCAAGACTTCTAAATACACCACTGAATTTGCCTGGTCTGAAGGCAACTTCTTTTTATAATTCATTTATAAAATTCATTTGGCATGATCTGAAAAAAAAATTAAAAGATCCAAGAAGCTCACGCATATATCGGAGGTCGCAAAATCCATTCATTTATTTAACATAAACTTCTCTGGGTTAATGACTTAATTATCCTCCATCCACATTTATTTCCCTATTTTGATTTATATTTACTATATTCTCTCAATTTACCATTATGGTAATTATGAACCAATTAATCTGTAGTAAAAGTAAACTCTGCACCATCGAACCGAAGGAAATAAACGGCATTTTATGCAGATGTCCTTTTGCTTTCCATAGATGTAAACTTTAGAGGGCGCAATTACGAAAACAAAATTTGTCACACACAAACACAAACAAAAGCGTGGTTTTACAAGAAACGAAGCTTTTAGTAATTTATAGTCAGATCTACTCTAGGCTTTTTAATAAAAATGCCGAAATCTAAGGAGTTCCTAGAATCGTCAGACGACTCTGATACTGAAAAGGTAATTATATTTATTCACAGAAAATGTCAACTAGGTTAGGCCTATAATGTGATATAGGCTTAGGTTAGGGCCTAGCTAGGTCTAAAAAAGGGAATCCGATCCGGCCGAGTGTAGACCTAGACGACGGACCAGCTAGCACGAATAGAGTAGGCCTAGCCTTATCCTAGAAGGACTAGTATTGTCCAGCTGTACTACTAAGGTAGTGTCAGTGTAGGCCCTACAGACAATAGATTTAGGTTGTGGCAGGGTGGGGTAAGGCCACATAAAATAAAGGATTACATTGCAGTAGTAGCATAGCACTTTCGTGTTAATTACTGTTCCAGGCACTGTACCGATAATATACAGATTTCTCTTATTATGAAGTACAAGTTACGTTTTATAAAGAAGTATAGTATAGTAAATCATGTTTTTAACACAAGAAACTGTCATATGGTAATTAAAACAATGCTAGTCCAGAGTATTACTAGTACTACTGCACTGTAATGTAATGCATATACCTATTAATACACTATTTAGATAGGCTTTTCTTTTTCCATCTTGATTTCAGAGGTCAAAAACATTTTTCAATTTTTTTTTTCAATCATATAGTGGTGTAGACTAGTCTATTAAGAACATTTTGCTGGAAAATTTTTTTGGATACGACGCCCCGTTATGGATGTCAGAAAATCAGCCCAAAAGCTTATCTTATATCTGTTGGTTACGCACTGCTGATTGGTAATGTTGGTCATCACTTCAAGATGTCTACCGATTCGTGAAAAAGGCCTATAATAATAGGTTTATAAAGCATTCCATCCTCTTAAGTGGCAAGTGTAATTGCGAGTTGGATGTGAAATTAAAAATAAAAATAACAAAAGTAAAATAAGGAGATTGAAGTTTGTCATAGTCATATAATAATTCTTTATTGTCCATTCATAAACAGGAACGTAATTTTTGAACTGGCATTTTGTACAATTGATTACAAACAACAATGGGCCTATACAGAGCTCATGAGTTAATATTTGTAATTGTTTATTCAACAACTATACTAGAGAGTATGTACATGTAGTGATAATACTCAATAGTGAATATTTTTAATGAGTATTGACTAGTATCATGTGCTAATTTTATGCTGAGAAACACTTTGACATCTAGTTGGACCAGCTGTTTGGAAACATCACATCACTGTACCAGCATGCGAATATTCCAGGCGTTGTGTTTAATTTTAAGTTTGTGTTTGCTGGACATTATAACTGGATCATACTGGGTTTGTTGTTGGAACAACACAATAGTCATCAGTGATGCCATGCAGGGGTTTCGCCAGAAAAACAAAATAGGCCGTCCAAAGTGGAAGCCAGTGGGCATGGCACTGAGCCGATGGGCGGGCCACGAACATTGTTAGGAATCCCCACCAATTATTGGTACGAAAACGTACATTCAATCAATAATAATGTTTTTTTTATCAAACAAATAATTAGATAAACAAGTAAATATGATTTAGCTTTAGTTTAATGTAACATTCGATAGATTTGAATAAATATAAACCATTTGCTAAAGGTAGACCAAGCCCAATTAGGCTAGGCCAAGCTGATTAGGCCAAGCCGTCACGGTTTGTTGTCTTGTCTTGTCTCCGGTCACCACAGAGCATTCCTCCTTGTTTCTTTTTCGCGCTGTGGATGTCTACTTCTAAAGTGATGGAAATACCAACGCGCTGATTGGCCGACTTGGCTTTTTCAAAGTATGAAACGAATACATCGGATCAGAGTTTATGCAGCTACAGGGTGTCTATCTAATCTATCTACACATGCAGTTAGAGGAGAAAAATTGGTTGAATATTTACAGAGTTATGCTAAATTTACAGTAATAAAATGACATTTTTTCCAGATTTACGCATGTTGGCCTATCTTGAATTTGTGACCATATGCACGCACCACGGATACAGCCTAGTTAATCCTAGCAATGTCATTCATTCATTCTTTATTGGTCTAATATATTTCCTATTTGGGATTTTGACAAGTGCCGTCACACAGATGTGCTCCTATCTAACTTTGCTCTCGTAGGGAAAATCCTGGTGCCACCCCTGTATATTTCCCCGCTAAAATTTTACCTTGCGCCCCCCCCCCCCCAGATTTCAGATGCTGGTGCCGCCACAATCTTGTGCCATACTAAGACATAAAAACTCTCCACATAAAATCCTACCAGGTTTTTTTTATTCCAGGACCCTGAACAAGGATCTAGTCAGCCCCTTGGCTTGGACCCTGCTGTCGGACATAAATCATCAATCAATCAGTTTATTCCCACATCTTCTGTTTTTTTTATTTTTTTTTTAATTACAAATTACAAATTGATGGAAAAGGAATAACCACAACAACCAAAGCTTTCAATAGTGGGTCCCTCTTTAAATAAATTAAATATGTATTATATACGTTTAATGTATACACACATTAAATATATATACAGATTTCGGACCCCTCATTAGCAAATTCCTGAAGCCACCACTGTCTTACTTACAGCAGATGAAAATGCTTAAGAAGAGCCAGTGTGACAGTTGTAGTCGTAGCAGGCCACTGGTCCCCGGGCTCCCGGTTTCTCTGGTGTACTGGGCTATGTGGCACATAGCCTTGCCTGTCAGTGTCACCCTTATTTACATGTTGCTTAGTGATTTAGGGCTTGGGTATTTGACATAGAAGGCTGTTGCACAAAAAATCCAGTCTTGAGATTAGACTCAGGCATCAAACTAGACAGAGGGTGGTGAGTATTAATAATAATCATGAATAAAAGGTGTAGAAGTTGCGTTAGTCTGCAATGCTATACACAATTTTTGCTAAATTTGAAATTAAAACTACCACCTAGGCATTTCGCTTTATGTAGTTACAGTGTTTATCTGTGCTGTGAACGGTGAACGACCTTCTTGTTATAGTGAGTTAGTCTAGGCTTAGGCTAAACAAAATGCCAAAATGAAAAAAAAAAAAAAAAAAATAGAGGTGCATAAAACAAGTGTTTTTGGTTGTAGAATTACTCAAAAGAAGATAAGTGTCTAAAAAAAGAAATTGCGAGCAATAAGGTGTTTTAAAATAGACCAGGTAAAATGGTGTATAGCACAATAACGATATAAGAAATGATGTAGTGAGTTAGCCCAGGCTTAGGATAAACAAAATGCCAAAATGAAAAAAAAAGAAGAAAATAAGTGTGCATGAAACCAATGTTTTTGGTTGTAGAGTTATTCAACAGATGTGAAAAAAAAAATTGCAAACAATAAGGTGTCTTAAAATAGACCAGATGAATTGGTGTATAGCACAATAACAATATAAAAAATGACTAATCACAGCACCCTAAAGACTAACTTTAGCTTTCATCTACACATTGGACTTCATCAGAAGACTGTAATAATAATCATAGGTTTTTTGGTGGATTTCTCCAAGGTGATGATTCATACATTTGTTTGTCGCCCTCTTTCAACTTTTGCTACAATAACAGTAATACCATGGTAATGCAAACCTACTCAGCAAAGAATTTGATACTGTACAGCCATGGTAATTTATGTTAATATAGAATGATACAAAATGAATCAATACAATTAATTAAATGTAATTTAATGAAGCAAAAATATGAATACAACCAACTTTAATCAATTTTCTTTCACAAATTGGATTTGAACTACATTTTTGTAATTGGTGGCAATTGCAAATTCTTTGATACCTGATGTCTGAATGGTTTTGCACTTGGTAAGATGGAACGACAAATGGAGTCATTTGTGATTATGCTGTCTGGTCATTTTTAATACTGCACCTTGTATGTAAATCGCCCTGGATACAAGTTGTATTACTTTCTGTACATATAAATGAATTCATTAAAGAACTACACTGTACTAATTCTTATCAAATTTTAATTTATTGACACTAATAAGCAATTAGTAGAGCTCCGCATAGTACACTATAGGAAAATTATTATACTTAGGTTAGATTTAATTCTCGAAAAAATTTCATGAGTGCCTGCAAGGCCTGAAGGAAAATTTAGAATGCATTAAATCTAACCTAAGTATAAGAATTTTCTGCTAGTGTACGATGCATGCTCTACTAATTGCTTTACAAGTCAATTGCCATCTGTTAATGTTAGTTTTTATAACCAACTTTGTTGTACCAGTCATCGGTTGCTATAGTGATATGATCAGTATACAGTGTGCGTATTTATATTTTGTGCATATGCTGATTTGTGCTCCTGCAGTAGGCCTACACATTAACTACACATCAGCAGTACTGTACGGATACAATGTATAACTAGGCCTAGGCTATTTTGTAATTTGTATTGTGTTATAAGAACTTGTTTATAATATTTAACATTCGTCAAAGAAATAAACAATTTTCTAAGTATTCAAGAGAGAATACAGTCACTGTCACTAACTCTTTGGTCGGTGCAGACAGATAAAAATCTTGGAATGATTTCATAACTTATGTGAGTTTGTACAGTATATCAGGGGCGGTGCCAGGAATTCCCTGACGAGGGGTCCAATCCCCCTCCCCGGTCAGTGAAAAATTCAATTTGTCAGGGAATTTTTTAGATTAAAAGATAATAAAATTTAGTGTTAATTATGGGATTCTTTATTTAAAATGTATGCCGGGGGTACTAGTCCACCTTTCGGGGGTTCTAATCCCCTTCGGAGTTACTAGCCAGTGTCGGGGAAGAACTGGGGTCCAAAGGGGGGAGTGCAGAGGTCCCTGGTGGGGTTTTCCCCCCAGGACCCCCGCTAGCGCCGCCCCTAATTTATATAGTGCCGCATATTGCAGGACTTTATTCTTTTGCCTTCCCATTCGTAGAGCTCTTTAATCTTCTAAACAAATTCAATGATGGATACAGTACATATATACATAATCAAATTTATAGTAAAATGATACTGTTTTTAGGCCGCCAGTTATGTTAAATTATATATAATAACTACTGCATTATTATTATTATTATTATTAGAGTAATACAGTAACTGTCTAAGAAATAAGGTTAAGTTCATGCCTTGGAACAAAAAGTATTAT